AAGATAGGTTTTAAAGTTTAATAAATATCCCCTGTGAGTGAAGTCGTCTGGTCCAGGGATTTTTTTTGTTGGACGGTTTTTGATTACTGCTTCAATTTCCTCCATAGTTATTGGCCTATTCAGTTTTTTTGATTCCTCCTGGTTGAGTTTTTGGAAGTTCGTATTTTTCTAGGAATATGTCCATTTCTTCTAGGTTGTTCTGTTTGTTGGAGTAGAGTTGCTCATAGTATTTTTTTTTTACGATTCTTCATATTTCTGTGGGGTCTGTTGTTAGGTCACCTCTTTTGTTTCTGATTTTGTTTATTTGGGTTCTCTCTTTGCTTCTTGGTGAGCCTGGATATAGGTTCATCAATCTTGTTTATCCTTTCAAAGAACCAGCCCTTGGTTTCATTGATCTTTTGTATTTTTTGTTTGTTTGTTTTTTGGTCTCTGTGTCATTTATTTCCCTTCTGATCTTTATTATTTCCTTCCTTCTGCTCACACTGGGCTTTTCTTGCTACTGTCTTTCTAGTTCTTCCAGCTGCAGAGTTAGATGGTTTATTACCATTTTTCTTGTTTTTTGAGGTAGGCCTGTAATGCTATGAACTTCCCTCTCATAATTGCTTTCACTGTGTCCCAAAGATTTTGGATTGTTGTGTTTTCATTGTTGTTTGTTTCCAGGATGTTTTTTATTTCTTTTTTTATCTCTGGTAATCCACTCATTGTTTAATAGTATGTTATTCAGCCTCCAATTTGAATTTTTATGATTGTTTTTACTGTAGTTGATTTCTAATTTTATGCCATTGTGATCTGAGAGGATGCTTTATATGATTTCAATACTCTTGAATTTGGAGAGACTTTGCCTGTGTCCCAATAAGTGGTCTGCCTTTGAAAATGTCCTATGTGCACTTGAGAAGAATGTATATTCTGTAGTTTTGGGGTAGAATGTTCTAAAGATGTTGATTAAGTCCATCTGATCTAGTGAGTCATTTAGGATTAATCTTTCTTTGCTAATTTTTTGTCTAAAGGATTTATCCAGTGATGTTAATGGGGTATTAAGGTCTCCTACTATGATTATGTTGCTGTCAATCTCTCCCCTGATAGCTTCCAGAATTTTTTTATGTATTTGGGTGCTCCTGCATTGGGTGCATAAATGTTTACCAGATTTATATCCTCTTGCTGTATCAGTCCCTTTAGAATTATTAAGTGGCCTTTCTTATCTATTATTATGGTCTTCATGTTGAGGTCTATTTTGTCAGATATAAGTATTGCTACCCCAGCTTTTTTTTCATTTCCATTTGCCTGATAGATATTTTTCCATCCCTTCACTTTCAGTCTGTGTGAATCCCTTGTTCTAAGGTGGGTCTCTTGTAGACAGCAAATGTATGGGTCATGTTTTTTTATCCATTCAGCCACTCGATGTCTTTTGATTGGACCATTTAGTCCATTTACGTTTAAAGTTATTATTGAAAGGTACTTGTTTGTAGCCATTTCTTTTTTTGTGTGGCTGTTTTCTTTCTGGGCTTTTTATTTCTTCTTTTTACACCAGTCCCTTTAGCATTTCTTGCATTGCTGGCTTGGTGGTGATGAACTCCCTTAGCCTTTTTTTGTCTGTGAAGCTTCTTATTTCCCCTTCAATTTTGAATGATAGCCTTGCTGGATAGAGTATTCTTGGATTCAGTCCTTTGCTTTGCATCACTTTGTAAATTTCTGTCCATTCTTTCCTGGCCTGATGTGTTTCTGTTGAGAAATCGTTTGATAATCTGATGGGGGATCCTTTGTAGGTAACTCTCTGTTTCTCTCTTGCAGCCTTTAAGATTCTTTGTAGTAACTCTGTCTCTCTCTTGCAGCCTTTAAGATTCTCTCTTTGTCGTTAACATTTGCCATTGTAATTATGATGTGTCTTGGTGTGGGTCTCTTGGGATTCATATTGCTTGGGACTCTCTGTTTTTGTGTAACATTTTTTCTTCCCCATATCAGGGAAGTTTTCTGTCATTATTTCTTCAAGTAGGTTTTCTAATCCTTGCTGTTCTTCCAGTCCTTCTGGCAGCCCTATTATCTGTATGTTACTTTGTTTTGTGTTGTCCCAAAGCTCCCCTAGGCTCTTCTCCTGCTTTTTAATTTTTTTCTCCAGTTGCTGTTCAGATTGGGCTTGTTTCTCTACCTTATCTTCTAACTCACTAATTCGATCCTCTGCTTCTTCTAGTCTACTGTTGAAACCTTCCATGCTGTTTTTGATTGTAGCTATATCACTTTTGATTTCTTCCTGATTTTTGCATAGGTTGTTGATTTTCTCATCCATCCTGTGTATGAACTGTATGACCATTACTCTGAATTCCTTTTCCTGTCATGTTGCATTTCTCCATTTCACTTATTTCCTTTCTTGGCTATTCTCTTTTTCTTTCCTCTGTGGATTGTTTCATAGTCTCCCCATTCTAACTATCATCAGAAGGTTCAAATGCCGAGTTTCTGGGGCCTGGGCTGTGTGCAGTGAGAGCTTCACGCCACCCGAGTGTCGCTGAAAAGCTCCAACACCAAGACATGTGGCTGCCGTGGGTTGATGGAAGACATGCTTGCCCAGGGTCAGAGTCACCAGTGCTCAGTGTAGCCTCATGTGCACACCTAGTATCAGGAATCCTGCCTGCGCCGCTCTGAAAAAGAGACCCCGCTGGTGTGTGCTGAAAATCAGAGTCCCCTAGAGCATGCCAGGAGTCAGAGTCCCTCTGTGCCCATGCTGAGAATTGAGTATTGAAGTCTTGCTTGGTGCAGCCTCACGCTGAGAATCAGGGTCGCTGTGTGCACATGCACAGAGAATTGGAGTCACTGGCTCTTAGTGTGCATGCACTGGGAATCAGGGATCCCAAGTGCATGTGAGGAGAAACAGAGTCACGTCACTGGTGCTCAGTGCTGCCTCTCATGCAGAGAATCAGGGTCCCTGGTCTGCTTGGGGGACCAGGTTGCACAGCCTCCCTGTGTCGGCAGAAGGTCCACTCCTGCACTGCAGAAAATAGACTTCCATGTGCGCTTGCCCAGAACCAAGGTCAGGTGGCACTGCTGCCTTGTGTGGGAGTGGGGTCTGGTCACGAGAGTGCACTCTGCTGAAAACAGATTCTCAGTGTTTGTGCACACAGGCTCAAATTCAGGCAGTGGAGCCAGAGCCGCCCTGTGTGGGCAGGAGGCCTGCTTGCGCCGGGGCAGGTCCAGCAGTTCCTATGGCGCTGCAGTGATCCTGCAGGGAGGGGGATGGGCTCTGTGACTCACAGAAATCTGTGGCTGGCATGTCTGGATTCTTGGTGTCTGTGGTTCTGCAGCTGTGGTCACAGGTCTTTGTCCCCAGTGGCTGTAGGGTCCCAGTTTGCGTCTGAGGCCAGATGGGGTGGTGGTGAGGCTAGGACCCTAGTCTCAAGCAGTTCTGTTTTTCAAGATGGCGTGGTCTCTGTGCCCACTCTGGCTGTCCCCGGAGTGTCCGCAGTGGCAGTGGGGTTTTGCTATCTAAGACTGCCTCGTTTGGCAGCCTCTAGGAAGACCTGCAGGATCTAATTGTCCCTAGCTCACACACACACACATACACCACATACATCCACACACTCCTCTATTGCTCCCTCACTCTCTCACACACTCTCCCTCCCTACGTTCTTGACGGTCACCATCTTTTTTCTCCCCATCAATAATTTTTCACTAAGTCACTTTTTTAAAACAGTTCTTTTGTTTGCTCTGTATTTAAAATGGAAGTATGTATTAGGTAGTAATATCAATTTAATGTGTCCTAAGTAGCATTTAACAGATGGGAATATGATAAAAACATTAGGATATAAAGAATAAATAAAGAGTATATATAAAATTATT